AACGCATTTTAAGGTAACTTGGAAAATACAGTGAAGTATAATGATAAACCAAAACCCCTCATAACCTTACACCAAGGAATAGCTGCTCTTAACTACCTGTCCATTCGTTTATCTAGCCATTCATTTATTTATCTTGAGCATTTGGGATTAAACAGAATTTGATACACTGTTTTAAGTTGAGCATTTCCCCATGTTATTATATATTTTCTAAAAGCATTTTTAGAGAGTTTGCTAATATTTCATTATAGAATTACAAATTCATTTATCTTCTTAAGGGTTGCACACTTATTCATTAATGTTTTTTGAGTGTCTACTTATGCCAGGAACAGTCCTGGGTTCTGGGGATACTTTAGTGACCAAGACAAAGTCCCTGCCTTCCTAAAGCACACATTTTAGCTGGTTGACATCCCAACTGTCTCCATTTTCTTTTGGCCACTATAAATAATGCTGACCACAAATAATCCTGAACATCAGTCTTTGACCCCATCTCTGATTATTCCTTTGGCCATAATTATTTCAACAATATTTTTAAATTCCATCCAATTTTTCTTATGAACACTTAAAAATACAAAAGTGTCAAATGAATAATACTATAAACACATATTGAATATGTACATACATGTATATACACACAACACATCAGTTCATATGCACACACTTGAAAGGAAATTGCAGATTTATGCCACTTCATCTCAAAATACTTCATTATCTATCTTCCAAGAAAAGATACCTTCTCCTACATAACTATAATACTTCTATCCCTAAAAAAAAATAATAGTCATTACCTAATGTCAACTAACATTCTGTCCACATTCAAACTTTCCAATTGCTCCAATTTTTTAAAGCTTTTTAAAAAAAATTCAAACAAGGTGACAGGTTGCAGTTTGTTGCTAATATCTCTTTAGTCTCTTTCTCACACACTCTCTTTTTCTCATTGAGGCAGCTGTAGATTCATAAGCAGTTGTAAAATAATAAAGAGATCCTTGTACACTTTGTCCAATTCCACAATTGCAAAACTGTAGTATAATGGCATAACCAGAATGTTTGCAACCCACTGATTTTATTCATACTTGCCTAGTTTTACTTGTACTATATGTGTGTACGTGTGTGTGTGTGTGTGTGTGTGTTAAGTTCTGTATAATTTGTATCACTTGTGTAGGTTCATGTATCCACTGCAAGTTCTGATGTAATTTTTTAGATGTAATGAAAATGACAACAGCTTTCCAAAAGAATACATAGGAAATAAGATCAAGGAAAAATACAAATATAAATCTCCAAGCATAAATATGCCCCAGTTTATGAAAATGCCAATGAAAGTCAGATTACAAAAGGTAAAGTGATTAAGAATTACAAATTGCCATTTATAAAAATGGTCACAGGGGTGTAAAGTACAGTATAGGGAATATAGTCAATAATATTGTAACAATTATGTATGGTGTCAGATGGTACTAGATTTATCCAGGTGATCACTCACTAAGTTATATAAATGTCTACCAGTAATCACAATGTTGTATGCCTAAAAGTAATATACATCAACTGTAATTGGGAAAAAAATAGTTTTTTTAAAGTCCAACCACAAAAGAGAAAAGTGGTGAGAAAGAAAGAGAAAGAGCAATTTTTGTTATCTCAAGAATCTCAAGTATTCATCCCAAATCAGGCTAGACTTAAGGAACCCCAGGACAACAGCCCAGCCTAGGGAGCCTGCAGAGTGCTACTGCTCTGTCCCTGTCCAGTAAGATGAATGTTCTCTCCCCATTACTCACCACTGAGCCCCTGCCTTCTAAATAAATTGACTCTTTGTCTTGTTAGTGTTTTTTCTTAGAGTTCTTTATCTTCCCCTTGGAAAGTTGTTCATAGTCTAAATCATTCTTCATGCTATGGTACCCAAACAAAATTCATTTTTTCATTCACTTACTCTTTCAGGTATTCATTCAATTATTCACTCAATTGTTCAATAAATATCCTTTGAGTACATAGAACTGTGCTGGTTTAAGGTTACTCAATGATAAAAAAGGGGGTTTCTGCTCCCATAGAGATAACAGATGAGTTAACGGTCTGATATAGAAAAGGAAATATGAGGCTCCCTCACAAAAGGCCTCCAGACATCACATTTCGATGGCACCATCTCTAGTTTATTGATAGAGAAGTGATGGATGTCTAAGGAAAACAGGACCCAAATTATTCCTGTGGCTGATAACAAAGTCAGCAACACAAATCAATTGTCCTCAGCTAACTGAGGACAAGAGTAACAGCCATGCTCCTTGCATCTTTAATCATACAAACTGCACCTACTAAAGTTTCTGAAGGATAAACAAAGGAAGTCTTAAGATAGATACTGACATTGTTTTCCAGTCTATGCTTGAATATAATAGCTGACATTTAGTCATAGGAATTATCTCCTTGCCTTGACAGGTTAATTAAATCTGGAATGGCATGCTTTTTTCTTTTCCCAAAACAACATAACTATAGCTGAGAAATAAATTATAAATTTAAAGGCTATTAAAGATAAAGAGACTGACTCAGACTCGAATTGAGAAGTAGACACTGAAAGTTATAACTCAAGATAACAGCAGGGTTAGAACATGAACCTCGGTCTCCTACTACTCAGCATCATGTTGTTGTTGAAGTTGTTGTGTTGTTGGTTTTCCCACCTTAACACACTTCCTCTAAGAAGGGCTAATCTTATCTAAAGACGGGAGAATGTGTTTATAGTTTTTTTTCTTACATTCTTATACTTGTCAAAAACAAATTTCTCATACATAAAAGTCATCACTTCATTTACCATTATATACAAAGGAGGGGAAAAAAAAGACAAAGGGAAAAAAAGACCAGACTTAAGTCTTTTAAAGAAAAATCCAATAATATATTTTCCAAAGTTACAATCATTAATTTGAAAAAACTCAGCCATGATAATCAATTAGTAGGAGTGGCCTTTAGTAACTGAAGTCTACACTCTATACCAGTGATGGTGAACCTCTGACACGCGAACTCATTTTTTTGGTTGATTTTTCTTTGTTAAATGGCATTTAAATATATAAAATAAATATCAAAAGTATAAGTCTTTGTTTTACTATGGTTGCAAATATAAAAAAAATTTCTATATGTGACACGGCACCAGAGTTAAGTTAGGGTTTTTCAAAATGCTGACACGCCGAGCTCAAAAGGTTCGCCATCACTGCTCTATACTCAACATACTAAAATTTAATGTCCAGATGTCTTAAAAGAGGTTTATTTTTCTACAGAAAGCAGTCAAGTACATGTTGATATTACTAAATCCACAATAGAATTTCATTCCTGTAAATGTTTTCAATATGCAACTTTACCCAAAACATTCTTACAATTGGCCTTTTGCATTTGAATTTGCAGAGTTCCTTGCTTTCCGGGAATTGCTCATTGTGAAGAACTAGTTCCAAGTCTTCAGGCAAGATAATTTGCTAGAATCAAATCAAAAAAGTGCAAAGTCAAAGAAACATAAGATGTCATTTAAAAATATAGACACTATTTATATTTTTATTCACAAAATAAGAGGTCTATAATTTTCTACCTCAACAATTATCTGGGATTTATGGCTATATAATTTTCTGGAATATTTGAGAAATATGCTCAGAAGACAGAAGAGAAGCAAAAAGGCACTTGGATAAATTTTATCATATAAGATGACCTCAGAGCTACCACTATTCATTCACTTATTCAACATATATTTATTGAACACATACTGTATGCCTGGCACAGTTCTAGGAGCTTGAGGTACATAAATGCACAAAAATCTCTGCCCTCATGGAATTTCATTGGGGGTAAAGGAAAAGAAACAATAAGCAATAAAAACCTGATATATGTATGTACATATATATACATGCACAATATGTATACATACATGTGTATATATACATGTATATATACGTATATACGTATATATCCTGTGTGTGTGTGTGTGTGTGTGTGTGTGTGTGTGTGTAAGAAGATGATACATGTCAAAAAAAGAAGAGCCAAGCAGGGTAAGCGTCATCAGGAGTATAAGGGGTCAGAGCAGTTTGTAGTATTAAAGGGAGTGGTCAGGCCATGGCTGGCATGGTTAAGTGGTTAGCAGTGGTTCTCAACCTTCCTAATGCCGTGACCCTTTAATACAGTTCCTCATGTTGTGGTGACCCCCAACCATAAAATTATTTTCGTTGCTACTTCATAACTGTAATTTTGCTACTGTTATGAATCGTAATGTAATTATCTGATATGCAGGATGTATTTAAAGGGGTGGTGACCCACAGGTTGAGAACCACTGGGTTAGAGCATCAGCCCAGGCACCAAAGGGTCTCTGGTTCAATTCCTGGTCAAGGCCATGTACCTGGGTTGTGGTTTGTTCTGCACCCTGCAGGAGGCAACCAGTCAATGTGTCTCTCGCATCGATGTTTCTCTCCCTCTCTCCCTCTCTCCTCCGCCCCTCCCCTCCCTTCTCTTTCTCTCCCTGAAAAGCAATGGAAAAAATAGATGAGGATAAATAAATAAATAATAAAGGGAGTGGTCAGAATGGGCTTATGAGAAGGGTAGATACAGGCAAAGGTTTGAAGGAGTTGTGTAGTTGAACCAGGAACATGTCTAAGGGAAGAGCATTCCAGGCAGGGCCAATAAATGGGAGAGTACAGATCTAGTTTGAGACACAGTAAGGTATCCAGTGTGTCTCAGAGGAATGACACAGTGGAAAAGATAACAGGGGCCAGGTCATTTGGAGCTTGTGACTTTGGTTTTTGTTTTGAGATGGGATTTTAAGAGGAAGAGCCTGTCATGAATGGACTTGCATTTTAACAATCACTCTGCCGCTGTAGGATATTTGGAAAGTAGAAGAGAGATCACTTAGGAGGCTCTTTCAGGAACCCAAGTAGGAGAAGATGATGACTCACATGAGATTGGTTATAATAAATCTGTAAGAAATGCTTGGATTCTGCATATAATTTGAAGGTTTTCCAATGGATTGAATGTGGGATGTGAAAAAAAGAGAAAAGCGCAAGATGACTGCAAGGTTGACAGAAGGAATTACGTTGCCATCAACTGAGTTTGAGAAAGCTATCAGTGAGGTAGGTGGAGGGACCAATTGCATAACAATCAAAAGTTTGGTTTTTCACCAACTGAGTTTGAGATATCTACTAGACCCCCAAAGAGAAATGTCCAGTAGGTGAGAAAGTAGTTAGCTAGAAAAGTCTGAAATTTAGGAAAAAATTCTGGGCTAGGAGTGCTAATTTAAGTCACCCATATACTAATGTTATGTGGCTCTATATGAATTTAAATAAAATGGACCTAAACAAAGGGAGTAAGAAAACATAGAGAAGAGGACCAAGGTCTGAGCCCTAGGGCTCTCCAACCAAGGGGACTAAGAAGAAGCAGCCAGTGAGGTAAGAGCCAAATGAAGACTCATCTAGTAAATCCGATGTATCTAGGAGGGAGGGACCAAACACGGCCAATGGGGGGAAGCTCGGGACTGACCATTATAATTGACCAGGTGTAGGTCACTGGTGGCTTTAATGAGGGCAGTGTGGGTGGAATTTGTGGAATTGAAAGCCTGACTGGAGTAGTTTAAGAATGAAATGGAAGAGAGAAATTAGAAGCAATGAGCTTTGTACAAAAGTAAGTAAATAAAGGCAGTAGCTGATGGAGAAAGTGGAGTCAGAAACGATTTTTTTTTGTTTAAGATGAAAGAAATAACAGTATGTGTAAATATTGGTAGGAATAGTCTTGTATAGAGAGTGGGCAGAGATGCATAGGGGAAAAATCAATATCCTTGAGTAGGCAAAAGGTGATGAGATCTTATGAAAAAGTGGAGCAACTAGCTTTGGATAGAAGCAAAGATGCTTCATATAGGAATGAGCAAGAAAGCAGAGGGCACGGATGCAGTTGTACGTAGGGAAGTAAATGGCTTGTGGGCATCTAGAAATTGTCTTCTGATTGCTTCAACCTTCTCAGTGAAATAAAGGTTTATCACCTGTGAATGAGAACAGGTAATCAAAGCAGAGAAGGTGGGAAAGAGTCCTTTTAGATGAGCAGGGGAGTGAGGGAATTGGAAGTGGGTAATTCAACGGCCTAGCAACATCAAGAACCCACTTGATGACAGCTCTGGGTGAGGGGGGTGTACTGGGGGGGGGGGGAGATTGAGCAAAAAAGGAAAAAAAGAAAAAGAACTCAAAGACAGGCCATGTGAAGCAGGATATAAAGAAGTTAGGGAAAGTTGAGGAAGTAAGAGCAGACATCACAGGCTGATAAGCTGCTAGGCCCTCCCACCAGAGCCCCCACCTCCTTGTGGGCCTGACCAAAGGGAAATGGTTTATGGCAGGAAACTCCTGCAGTGGTCTCAGAAATCAACAAGAATTGGCTAAAACCAGATGAATCCAAGAAGAAGAAAAAATGACTAGCTCATTATTCCATCATTATAATGAAAACTGACACCACAAGTAGAAAGGGGGCCGAGGGTGACAAACACTAGGACACTTCCAGAATGGACTGCACTAAGAACAAGACCCTCTCCCAACCAGAACGGGGAGACAGAATAATTTCACAAACAACACACCCTTGGAAACACAAAATCCCAACAACTACTGAGCACAGTGCGCAACTCACTGGCAAGTTCGCCCACATCCACTCGGATGTGTACTAGTACTGTTGCTTCTTTCACAGCAGTGCCCTGTGAGAGTTGCAACTTGGGGGCCATGGCTGGCTCAACCCCTGATCCTGTCTCCAGGAACCCACATCCTAGTCTCTTTTTCTCTATGTGAATAAACTTGCTTTCACTCTCAAAAAAAAAACCACAAAAAACAAAACAAAACCTCAAGGACACAGACAACCATGTGGTGATTGGGGGGGGGGGCGGGTTGAGAGGGGTGGGGGAGGTGGCGGAGGATATAGGGGATAAAGGTGATGGAAAAAATATTTTTAAAAAAATAAGAACCCACTTGAGGGTTACGGTCATGTTTTTCTCTAGAGATGTTCATTTGCATGGGTACAGGCTTAGAAAGGCTGAGAGATTCTACTTACTAGTATTCAGGGTGTGGCTTTGCCAAGCAAATAAGAAGCCAGAGAGGGGCAAGAGAATTTATGGTGAATGCACAAGAGTAATTATGATGATGGGCCACGAAACTGATGCCCAAGATCTAAAAGCAATCAAAGGCGTGCACTCTGTCTGCCCTTCTGTTTTTTGTCTTCCCTTAGGTTTTGAAGAACAAGACCATATTTTCTACATTCTCTATTAACTCCAGGGTAACTAGACCTCTATGCATGATGACTGCTCAATTAATATGTATTGATCGTCTAGTCACTTCTGGGTGTGAAAATGTAGCAGGTTCTTCAATCATCAGTGATCCTTCCAGAGTTAAGCCCCACTGGATCTGACAGATGGTCTATAAATTTTATATTTGAAACACCATATGTCATGTATCCAAGTTCCATACATACTTAGCTTCAAAGTCTCAGGTTTGGGTGCTAATGTGGTTGATCGCATCTGTGCTTCAAAATCTGCCATCCAGAAGCTTCTATTTTCTCTTCCCCACACTTTTAATCACCTCAACCAGATGCTCCCAATTTCCTGCTTCCTCGGAGCACGATCTGGCCATCCTGGGACTGAATCCTATTTCACCAGGTCTTATGTAAGTGCCCTGGTCCAGGAGCACAGAGCTGCCATCTGCCTCTTCCCTCCCTCATTTCTTAAAGATTCCTGATTCATAACTGCTATTTCAGAACTAGTTGAAGGATGAACTAAATTTTTACAGTCTCATAGAATGCTTCACCTCTGCCCCACAGCTGTCTCTGACCCTTTTTCTTATTATCACACATGATTCAGGTCATCTACCTATGCACCAGTGCTGGAGCTGGAGCATCTCACCCCACCTGTCTTCTAAATCCCAAGTGCAGACACCACTAAATCTGTTTAATGTGCCATGGACTCTAAAGCACTGTGACATTCTTATCCCAGGTCACTCAATATTGAAGTGAGGACATGAAAACTAAAGTTTTTCAGATTCCCATATCAATTAATTTGAGAAAATTATATTTTTAATTATGTATTGCTGTGGGATATGGGTCTTCTCTAATTTGAGAACCAGTAATATTGCCAATAATTCAAATATGAATTTACCTCTTTACAGATGCCCCACCACTTTTTTTTTTGGAAGCACATTTTAAAGTTTTATTTAGGAATATTTGTACTATTTGGTGAGCTGGGACATAGGGATCAAGCTCTGAAATGGTCACATGTGACATAAACTTATCTCTCACCCATATACAGGTTAGGGATGCCCCACCACTTAATCAAGTCTTTCAGGCACAGAATTAAGGTGTTCCAGCAAGAGCATTCACCTTATTCC